CCCCAAAACCCCAAAACCCCGTGATACTAATTAATAGAAATTAATTAAATTAGATTCATTTTCTATTTCAATATTACCCTCTATTTATTTATCAATTTGATTTGTGATTTTAGTTTCCATTCTTTTTATTATCTTTTCCAGATCCATTGCTGCCAGCTTTGCCGTTTTACTTTTATACTACTGTAGTTGGACTCTTCCCATTATTAGCACTAGGTTTTTTATTATTATTTTATGCAACTCCTATTGACTGTTATTATTACTGCTATTGAAACAGTTGTTACTGCTGTTACTGCTACTGATTGCTATAGTTAGTTTCTAGATTGCCAAATATGCCCCCAACACTTGCATTATTATTGGTAGCTCTCTGAGATAGGTTTTAAGTGTGATTAGTGCTGCCCACATTGCTGTTGCCAGGATGATGACTTTAACTAGTACTCTATAGCTGGACATTCTCAGGGTTTTCAGTTACAAGTTATAGTGCTTCACTCTGGAATAACTAGCCAAACCTATCCTTACTCTTAGTCATGTGTAAATCACATAACTGAGCTTGCTTAGGTTCCTCACAACATACATAGCCTACACATATATAGCAGTAAAATAGTCGTGAACCCACGCAAGAGTAGCAGAATTCCTGAGTGCAAGATGCGCACTTAACTCTCTTGTCTGTCTTGATGATAAGCTTGTCACATCCACAGCAAAAGTTAACATCCTCCTTCCTTCTGAGTCTTTACTTCATCTCTATATTTTCCTGCTATAGCTTCTTAATGGTGTTTAGAAAGTCTTGCTTCATTGTAAGCATCATCTATTTGATCTCATCAAGGCATTAATGCTTGTCTTATAGTGCAGGCTCGTATCTAATGTCACACTTAGGACATTTCTTAAAGGGCAAGAAGCACTTATGAGATGCATCGCATTTATGTTTGAAGAGTTTGCACTACTCGCAGAATCTATAGTCATTTTTACACTCCTCGATGTGCTATATCCTCAGGTGATTAGGAACAGTTTGCAAGCATAGCACACAAACTTCATTCACTATGACTTATGATGGAGGAGGCAGTTGTGAATGTGAAGATTAGTCTTGATTTTGCTGCGAGGGAATCTAACTTTGCTCATACTGTTTAAGCTAGTTTATCATTATTATTTCAAATAGTTGCTGTTGCTGCTTGAAGGAATTGCTATCTTAGATTGGTATTTGCTATAATCTGAAAGGGTCAAAATTAGGGTCATTAGCTTGCTTACCCACTTGGTGCTCAAACCCACCAGCACCATTATTAATTAGATCAATTTTGTTGGTATTTTTATTCTGATTACCTACCTAGTTTATTAAGAGTGCTTCGCTAAACTGCAAAGACCCGATAAGAGTCTTAAAGTATTAATTGAAGATTAAATCTCTTGGACCTAAAGGGAAAAACATTATGAATTTGCAGCCTTTGTGGCAAACTGATGGATCTTTCGCTACGTTTTACTGATAATTAGTTATGCATTCGAAGCATGTGATGATATTGCAAGTCTGACACCGTCTGGGATTTTCAGCCAGATTGAGGCATATTTGGCACTTAAGGAACTCCCAAGTCTAGAGGAGCACTTTGGCAGCTATAGCTTAGAAGTTTAAGAACTACGAAATTTCAGTTGACATGGGCTATGTTTGAATGTTTATTAATTTATAGAAGTATTTTAATATCAATTAATGAAGAGTTTAAAAGGTGAGTTTACAAGACACATTCAATTTACACTTTAAAGCGACACTAATCCTAATTCAATTTATTTTATCCACTTATCCAACCTATTTGATAATTATGGGGTTTTGGGGTTTTGGGGTTTTGGGG